TGTCCCCCAGTGTGTACTCTATATAACCCACTGTCCCCCAGTGTGTAGTCTATATAACCCACTGTCCCCCAGTGTGTACTCTATATAACCCACTGTCCCCCAGTGCGTACTCTATATAACCCATTGTCCCTGAGTGTGTACCTCCGCGCAGCCTGCTATTCCCAATCGTGCCTTCTGTAAATCCCACTGTTCCCCAGTCTGTCCCTCTGTAAGTGCCACATTGTGTCTAATGAGGCTGCAAACAATAATGCGTGTCCTCTGTTCATGAGTACGCACACACAGCACCACCCCTTCTGTTAGCAGATTAGTGTTTATCTCTACATTAATGTTCCTCGACGTGTCTCCTATACAGTATGATCCACTTAATGCAGCTTTTATAGGGCCCTTCCACTAAACTGGTGTTGACAGAAAGTTGAGCCACTTAAAATCAAGTGACCTTTGATTCTTTATAAGCGAGTTCATTGTGGTTAGGCTGGTTATGTGGAGTGCGGTGCTATGTACTGACCTGCAGTGTCCTCTCAACATACAACATGGTGTCTCTCTCATTGGTGGCATTGTCGGGCCTTGGTTTAAGTGGGCGGTAGGCACAGCAGAAGGTGAAGATGGTGATGTAGACAAGGTACAAGAATGCCAGAAGTCGGAAATAATACATTCCGTAGCTATTCCACTTTAATTGGAGGAGCTCCTTCATAGGGGATAGGCGAAAGATCTTTAGGGCCTGTGCAGTGAGACGGGAGAGAGGAAATATACTGTTGCTATTTTCTTTCGTTTCTTACCTCCTTTCTCCCTAGCAGCTCTCCTCCCCCAGCACTTTCCCAGTTACCTCCTTGTTTTTGCTGGAAATCACCAGCTGCAGCACAGAGAGGTCATCATTCCATGAATCAATCTCCAAGAGGTCATAGTAAGTGCTGGTCAGGGGGCCATACGGTCGCTGCACATTGTGCTCCTTCCTCTGCAATAGGTGCTGGAACATCTGCAAGAGAGTGTAAATGATTCAAAGCTCAGTTAAAGGAGAATGATGGGAATAGAAATGGGGAACGATGGAAATGTACAGTCGGGCACCATTGTGCCAACACAGGACTGAATGGTCTCTCAAGCCTGGCCCATGATACCCGGAGCATCAGGATTCAGAAGTTCCTCCCTCTCTTTGTGGATCATCTCTCGAAACCTTTCACATTTTTTGAAGTGCTAAGTGAGTGCGAGCTCCTTTCTGGAATTTTAATCTGCTCTTCGTGTAACAGACTGTCTGTCATTCCTTCATCGCTATGACCCATCCCCTTGATGAGTGCAAATGTATGGATATTCAAACATGCAGCTCCCCCGATGGCCTAGCTGTCAGGTTATAGCCTCTCAGTTTTGGTATCACCTTTGAAAATCTTAATTCTACCTTCTCCAACTCTGCTATATCTTTTGTTGCAACATGAGTTAACCAGACTCCATTTCCCATAACTCCTTTTTTCAAAAATTTCCTGTGCACTGGAAAAAGGGTAAAATAAATCAGTCACTGTTCTGAGTCCAAGTTGTGGTCATCCCTCTCTTAGAGTTTAGGCATGATGGGGATTTTGCTCAAGCTTTGCAGTGATGCCTGCCCAGTTGAATGGCCTCCTAAAAGTGGCTCACTAGATTCAAATACAAAGTGCAACAGCTGGGGCAGAATGATGGGAACATGGCATTGAACCAGATCCCAGAGACACGAGGAGAGAATAGGAGACAAATGTGCAAGGAGGCAATTTAAAGGAATACGGAAGTTCCTGACCTGAATGTTTCCTTCGACTGCTGCCAGCTTGATGGGAGTCAGCCCATTCCTGTTGATGATCATGTCAACTGCAGGCTCATTCTCTGCCTTGTCGTAGGATAAAATTATATCGTACATCTGTGGGATGAAGGGCCTTTTAGGCTGGAGCACTAGAACATGCAGAACCGTGTTACCTGAGAAAAGAACACATCTTCATTGAAGGCATGAGAAAGGTTCTCTTCTCTCTCTCTTTCTCCCTCTCATCGAAAGCCCTGACCTTCCCCCCCTCTGACTATGATCTCCAGCCAACCAGAGGATGCTCAGTCTTTTACAGAGCTCCTTATTGCATGCACAAAAAGAAGGTGAACTATCAGCTGTCAGAGGTATAGAGGGGATTTGAGGAAGGATTGTTTACTCCCCAAGAGGGTGGTGGGTATCTGGAACTCACTGCCTGAAAGGGTGAGAGAGGCGAGAATCCTCAAAACATTTAAGTATACAAGGCTATGGGCAAAGTGCTGGAAAATGGGATTAGAATCGATAGATGTTTGACAACCAGCCAGCACGGATGTGATAGGCCGAAGGGCCCTTTTGCCGTGATGTAAAAATTCTTTAACCCTATGAACATGGAGCTCAACAACTTCAGACCATGAAATCTGACCCCCATTTTTATGTATTTTCCTCATTGTCTATACCTCATTTTCCTGTTTTTGCTTTCAGTCAGAGAAACGCTACTCTGGACCAATACTTTGTCCCATCACCACAAATATTACCTCTTGCTCCATGACATCATGAATGTTTATTCTTCTCTTTCCCTAACGTTCCCTACTGTTCCAAATTCTCCTCCCTTCTTTCTCAACTGCACAGCACCCATCACATTTCTACCCCTCTTCTGTTCCGAAGAAGAGTCAATTGGACTCAAAATGTTAACTTGGTGTCTCTCTCCATAGATACAGCCATCCGTGCTGTGTTGATCCAACACTTTCCATTCATATTCCCTCAAACAGCAACGCGAGATAATCTACCATGGGATGATCATTGAGAGACTTTATTGGCTGGGACAATGGCAAGAGCTCCACTGATGTTCATTGAAATTGTGTCACGGGACATTTTTATGTCCGTGTGAGAGGATAAACTCAATGGCTCATCTGAGAGACGGCCTCTCTGACAGTGTGGCACTCTGACAGTGCTGCACCTGAGTGTCAGCCTACGCTTTGTCCTTCCTAGGGTGGGAGCCGAACCTTTTCTCTCAAACAAAAGCCCAGCAACTGAACCATGGCTGAGACACCCTGAACTTGCTCTGATCACATATAGAAGATGAAAATCCCATATCTGTCAATCCCAGTGAAACTATGTGGGGGTGAGGGGAAGGTAAATATGCACCCAATGCCCTGACCCATCCATAATCCTAATCAGGAAGAATAGTGATGGTGGGGGCAGGGTAGGGGGGGTGGGCGAGCTGGGAAGTCGATGGTTCGGCCGACTGGGGAGATCCCTTAAATGTAAATTTAAACGGAAGTGGGAATCTGGGTGAGTCAGAGAGAGGACAGACTCTTTGTTGATGTTTTGAGTCTCAAGTAAACGGGGAAATGGCAGTCAGTGCTGTGGAGATCAACTGTAGATAGTCTTTTCTGATGATGGGACGTCGGTATTGCTGGCTAGGCCAACGTTTCTGACCCATCCCACATTGCCCAGAGGCAGCCAATCACATTGGTGCGTGTCTGTAGTCACAGATAGGGTTGGCAATGTTTCTGTTGGCCAATGGCAACGCGAACATGCACAGCATCCCTGGAGGTCTTCACCGCTCACTCCAAGGTAGAATTTTATTGAGTAATCTTCCTGTGGGTTAACAATGAAATCAAAATGAAGGGCGCTGCGTTCCGACTCTTACCGAGGTAATCCTGTGCCCTAATGTCTGCCCCATTTTCGATCAGAATGCGGACGATTTCTGCATTCCCAACACAAGCCGCGAAGGACAGCACGTGCTCACCTGGACAAAGAAACACAGCCTCAAGCACTGACTGATGAAAATGAAAGGTACACAGCTGGATGGGAATGGCTTTGTTTAGGTGATACCCAGGAACGTGTCAAACCAAGTGGTATCATCTTGAGTTGAGAGCCAGGCCATGAGAAAACAAAATCAGGAATATAAACAGCAGTGAAAATCTGGAATTCCACTCTCAAAAGGCTGTGGATGGAGTCACTTGGAGTTTTCAAGGCTGGCATTGACTTCTTAATTAAGGGTATCAAGGCAATGCAGCTAAAGTTGAGTTGATAGAGTTAAGACACAGACCACTCATAATCTCATTGAATAGTATAGCAGGCTTGAAGGACCAAATGGTCTCTTGTTCCTGATGATTCATGGAAGAGTGACAAATGGTGGAAGAAATGTGGGATGAACTTTGCTGCATAGCATGTCTTATCACATCCTCTTGGCATTCCAATGGTTTCCATAGGCAATGGATTACTTTTGGAAACTTTTGGAACTGCAGATGTTGTAAATAAGAAACAAGAACAGAGATTGCTGAGAGAGCTCAGCAGATCTGGCTGCATCTGTGGACAGAAATCAGAATTAATGTTTCAGGTGGAATGACCCTTCCTCAGGAGCTGAGGAGCTGAGCTTTTCCAGCAATTTCTCTTTTGTTTCTGGACTACTTTTGGAATTGCAGTCATTGCTGTAATATAGACAAATAGGTCAGTGTATTCAGTCTAGGATCCCACAGATAGCAAGAGATAAAGATTTTGGTCAGAGACAAAAAAACTACAGACGCTGGGATCCAAGGCAGACAAACAGGAGGCTGGAAGAACACAGCAGGCCAGGCAGCATCTGGAGGAAAGGAGCAGTCAACGTTTTGGGTATTACCCTAAAGAAGGGTATTACCCAAAACATTAACTGTTCCTTTCCTCATGATTTTGGTCATGTTGAGTTAAGGGACAATATTAGTCAGGACAATTGGTCAACTCCTAGCTCTTCGAATAATATCAAAGGATTAAACATATGAACATATCAAACAGGACATTCAGCTTCTTTGGGTCCCTTATAGGACAATCACACTATCCCAGGGATCAGACTGGTAAACTTTCATTGTACTGTGTCAACAGCAGGTATATTCTGAGGTCAGGAGACCAAAGATGTACATAATGCTCCAATACGGCCAGGGCTTTGTTTAATTGTAGTAAATTCTTATTCCTACACACAAATCCTCTTGTAATAAAGGCCATTTGACTTGCTCATATCTACCTGAACTATGGCAACACACTGAGGAGAATTTATTTCAATGCCTCACCTAAAATTGTCTATCATACAAAAATAATCATAACATGATATTTTAAATTAAATCTTCTGTGGGACATAGGTGTCGCAGGCTGGCCAGAATTTCTTGCCCATTCCTAGTTGCCCTTGAGAAGGTGGTGGTGAGCTGCCTTCTTGAACTGCTGTAGTTCACCTGCTGTATGTTGACCCATAATGCTATTAGGGAGGGAATTCCAGGATTTTGACCCAGTGACAGTGAAGGAATGGTGATACATTTCCAAGTCAGGATGGTGAGTGCATTGGAGGGGAACTTGTAGGTTCTGGTGCTCCCATGTATCTGCTGCCTTTGTCTTTCTAGATGGATGTGGTCATGGGTTTGGAAGATGCTGTCTAAGGAGCCTTGGTGAGTTATGGAGTGTATCTTGTCGATGGTGCAAACTTCTGCTACTGAGCGTCAGAAGTGGAGCAGGGGAGGCAATGGCCTAGTGGTATTATCACTGGACTGTTAATCCAGAGACTCAGATAACATTCTGGGGACCTGGGTTCAAATCCCTCCATGGCAGATGGGGGAATTTGAATTCAATAAAATATCTGGAATTAAGAATCTAATGATGACCATGAATCCATTGTTGATTGTTGGGAAAAACCCATCTGGTTCACTAATGTCCTTTAGGGAAGGAAACTGCCATCCTTACCTGGTCTGGCCTACGTATGACTCCAGACCCACAGCAATGTGGTTGACTCTAAACAGTCCTCTGGGCAATTAGAGATGGACAATAAATGCTACCTAGCCAGCAACGTCCTCATCCCATTAATGAATAAAGGGGGGAGAAAAGGGTCTGTGAAGTAATGTATAAATGTAATCTGAGCTGGCCTTACATCAGATGCTGTGTCTTCAACTGACTTGATCTTAAACACAATGATTCCTGTCTGAACGGCTCATATTTCTGCCTCTCAATTTTCGTTCACATATGCAATTGTTTGAATGCTTTTTTTCAGCTCACTATCAAGTGGAGTTTATGTTGCTGTGAAATGTCTTGGTGTGTTTTCCTAGCTCAAGGTACTATTTGATGCAAGGTGTTTTTACTGAATTAATAAACCTATAATTATTGCCATTCCAGTAGACCATCTTATCAGCTGGAAATTCCAGTGTTAGATAGATAAAAATGGGCTCCTGCTGGAAACTCTCTCAATGATGCTGCATGCTGGGCTTGAGTGAATACTGCACTTACCATAGTAAATGATACTTTTGCTGCTTTTCCTGAAGAATGTCCCAGTGGCACAAGATGTGACTACATCAGCTCGGTGACTTATCAGTTCTTTCACCAGCTGCACATTTCCATTTGCTGCAGCAATGTGAAGGGCTGTTTCCCCTGTTTGAGCAAAATGATATCCCAACATTTCCAAATTCATCCAATAAACATCCATAGACTCAACAGGCAAAATCACACATCCTGTAAAATATGCCACACCCCACTCACTGCCTACACCTCACTCTCTGCCCATCTCCCACTCACTGCCCACACCCCACTCACTGTCCATCTCCCACTCACTGCCCACACCCCACTCACTGTCCATCTCC